TCGCTCACCTGTAATGAGCTTAAAGGGAATGGGGGAAGGAGGGGGCTCGGGGTAGATGCCCTGCAAGGGTGGGTGCTGAGATCAGAGGGGTGCGGGCGGTGGGCGTTCTAAAGCCACTGGAAACCATCGTCTAGCTTTTACTTTTTATTTTCATTTTGAAAGGGGGTTGTAATGAATGGAATGGGTTCGGGGATGATAGGGCCCAGTCCTAGTCCCGCTGCTCACTTCGAGGAAGTAATAAGGTAAAATGGTCTCTATAGGGGGCGACCCTATAGTGTGCGTGGCCCTCCTCCTGGTCTGGGCGGGACCGATGATTGTCACGCGAGTAAACACTTGTTTGTAATCAAAGGGGCTGGGACGCGACGGGCTGTCCGTCCTCGTTGCCCCGCCGTGTTGGTGGCGCCGGGAGCGACAGAGACGGGGAGCATTATTGACACGCACGCACCCGCCCCTCCTGTTCCCGGTAGGCTAGCGGGGAGCAGAGGTGGGGCAGCTGGGGTCTCTCGTCCTGCGTCCGAGCCTCGGTCCGAGCTGTTTCTCACGAGTGCGCTCCTCCTCATGTTTCAGAACCACGCGGGCAGCTGCGGCTACGAGCCCCTGTACTGCGAGAACAAGTGCGGCCTCAAGGTGCAGCGGCGCCACCTCAGCCCCCACAAGTCCAACGACTGCGCCAAGAGGCTCGTCGGCTGCCGGTACTGCAGCAAGGAGTTCGTCGCCGACACGCTCCCCACCCACGTCACCAAGTGCGGCCGCGTGCCCGTCACCTGCCCCAACCACTGCGAGGCCGGGCTGCTCGCCCGCGAGGACCTCGACGGCCACCTCAAGGACCACTGCCCCTCGCTCCTCGTGCCCTGCTCCTTCCGAGAGGCCGGCTGCAGGTTCAAGGTGAGCAGAGCAACGATATCAGTAAAGGGGGGGAAGTTCACTCAAAGTCAGGTTTGAACCTTTCTTAACGTCGTTTGTTCCCTTTTGTTCTCAGGGTCTACGACACTCGTTGGACAAACACCTGGATGAAAGCACCAAGTCCCATTTAAATCTCATGTGCACAGTCGTGAACAAACAGCAGCACCAGATCACATCATTGAAAAGTGCATTGCAACGCCTGTCCCTCAACCAAACTGGTAAGTGTTTTATCATGTACGTTTTGTTTAACTATCTTTGCATCGTCATCAAAGTCATCATTAATTATTTGTTCTTTCTCTTTCTCTGTTCAGGAACCTTAGTTTGGAAAATTTCAGACTACACTTTAAAAATGTCAGAGGCTAAAACCAAAGAAGGCATGGAGCTAGTCAGCCCGCCCTTCTATACCAGCCAATATGGCTACAAACTACAAGCCTCAGTATTTCTGAATGGGAATGGAGCTGGGGAGGGAACTCACATGTCTGTCTACATTAAAATTTTGCCTGGAGAATATGATGCATTACTACGTTGGCCCTTTGCCCATTCAGTGTCTTTCACATTATTTGACCAGTCCAGTGTACCTGAAAAGGTAAGTCAAATGTTATAACTGGTTATGATAGCCAAATTTGAATAGAGATATTTTATCTGGTTTTGTTCTAATGTTTTTTCTGTTTTTTTATCAGGCTTGCAATATTGTGGAGAGTTTTATTCCGGACCCAACATGGAAAAATTTCCAAAGACCAAGCAAGGAGCCAGATTCCCTTGGGTTTGGATTTCCTCGGTTTGCTTCTCATGAAGTTCTGAAGAAACGCCATTTCATCAAAGACAACACTATTTTCTTGAGAGTCAAAGTGGATCCCAGCAAAATTGTAGCTGTCTAGTCATTGCCCACTGACTGTTAATTAAAGAAGACCATAAATGTGATTCTAAGAATCCAGCTATCACCAATGATTTCCGTCTTTTGCATTAATGCAATAAGTGGATTATTTCTGGTCATGACTCTTAAACATTGGTCTATTTTCTGTTCATTTTGTCTCTTAGTATCATTGTAGTGCTAAGGACAATATCAGATTATTTCTTGGAATCTTCTAAGAAATGAGATATTTTGGCTTTCTGCTTGTGTATGAAATTTGTGATTTGTTACATGTATTTGTACAGTACTCGAATATGTTTAAGAATCCTCTCAGATCACGAATGAATCTGTCAGTGTAAAATTTGTAAATTTGTTTAATGTATATACTTAAATGACTGCAGATATTGTACAAATAATTCTGCTCAAATTGAAGTCCGTATGTTCCCATGTCATCAGATTATTTTTGATGAGGTTGAATGCCTAGATTTCTGTATTTTCTTTATATTTACATCTGTTTACAGAAGTCTTTTATAAGGATTATAAGTGGCATCTACTTCCCCTTAATCTGTATGCATTGTGGTTTCATACTATTTCAAGTACAGCCAAAGATAAATGTAACTATTCAATCAAAATATCTCACGCCTCAGTTTATTATAATTATAATGTGATTTTTTTGTAATAAGTACTAGTGTTAAGTATTGTTTAACTGCAGTAATGAAAATATTATTTAGCATGGTAGCTGGAGTAATGCCAAAGGTTGTTTTCAAGAGATCATCCAAGTAGACTTCTTTTAGATAGTAGTAAAATTTACACGTCTTTCACACCAATATCCAAGTCAGTAGAATAAGTTGAATTAAGTGATTGTTGCAATACAAGTAGGTTTCCTTGTCGCCCTAATTAAATGTAAACTGCAGTATTTCTCATAAAGCAAAGGTTTTGTGTAGATTATTAGAATTTTGACTAAGATGCATTAAATTGCCCTCCAAAAACTATGAAAGCAAATCGTTTTTTCATACAACCCAATCTATACTCATTGTTCATACATCAGAGGCCCTAAGATATGTGGTGTCTTATTCTGGTCGGACCCTGGCAAAAAAAATTTGGGACATTATACTTTTCCGCTGATCTTAATGTATGACCCTAAAACAAATTCAAAGCCACAAATACAACTGTTACTAGCTGTCAGTCTAGATCAAAGAACACATTAGAAAAAGAATGCAAATCCCTCTATTTCTTTAGACATTGGTATACTATTGTATAATTCAGGAGTTCCTCCACATTGTGAGTCAAAATTGACAGAGCTGAAACTACTGTCATCATTTTTAAACATGACTGTTCAATTGAAATCTGTTAGAGGAATCCCAATCCTTTAAATTTACAGCTTCTGAAAGACTAGTCCTTACCTTCAAACACCAAGTTTTAAAGCCTAAGTGCTGAAAAATCAGGAAACAGTAGAATGAGAAAACAGATCGAGTCACGAAAGTCAAATTTGACATGATAATGATTATAATTTGCAATCGTGAATGATTTGATTTTGGTCAAAATCAAACTTCTGTTTAGGATGATGACTTTTCAACGCGTAATAATAATGATAAATCAAATTTAAACTTCTTTCTCTGAATCTGAACTTGAGCATTTCCAATTTTTAAGAAAAATTTTGTTGGGGTCAAGTCCTAAGGAGGAATTTGAGCCGTGAGGGTCACCGTGATGTCAAAATGGTCCCTCATTTATATATTGTCACAATGACATCAGGATGAGTGCAGAATCACACCACAATGAGAGACCATTTTGATGTCACGGTGACAGTCATGGCTCAAATTCCTCCTTGGAATGTCAAATTATTTTAAAATTTCTTTATACCTTACATAATTTTGTTTTTAACTTTAGCTTGATGGTCAAGTTCCTTGATGCATCAAGATCAAGATCAGTTTTATTCTCTTCAGAGTGTACAAGATTTTTTAAAGGAATTACTTATAGAGTTCTAGTTAGACATATTTTCCTGAAATTTTAGTGATCAAACTTGCCAAAATTTTATGATTAAGCTAGGTTGAAGTTAACATAAACAAATGATGTAAAATTTTGCATCCTGGGTGGGTAGGCTTGTTTAACAATTAATGATAATTCCCTTGTACTTTTTCAGTGCCTAAAAGCTAATCGACCAAGGAATTAAAATCTAGATAGACACAAAAGAAGAAAAATTACCAAGGAGGATGTAGATCAGAATATTAAAGTGAATCCTAGTTTTGTGTAATCGGTTATTATTTCGGTAATTTAAATGTTGGAGAAGTACAGACAGCTTCTAGCTTCTGTAGAGGAGAACACATTTAGAAAACAGCAGAGGAGTAGCTCTGCATTTCCCAGATTTAGCTGATCTGAGAAGTAACCAAATGGTGTTAAAAAGTGAAGTGTTGCATATCTAGATCTGCCGTGCTTACATTTGTGTCATGTGTGATTCATAATTAAATTATTATTTTGACTCTCTTATAGTGAGTGTGTTTTAGTTTGCTACAATAAATACAAATCACTTTTATTAGATTAGTTGACTGTTTTTATTTAAAAAAAGTTAAGTTTATTCTAATTCATTACGAGAAAAATATGACATGAAAATAGAACAACAAAACATTTGCAATTTATGTCAATTGTCTTCAGTCTTTGTCATCAAAAATATTTTGATGTGCACACTTCGCGCCCATCATCATCTAGATGAAATTTTTATAATAAATAATCGTCACTGTAAAAGCTACTTTGTTGATTGGTAGGTTGATAGTGTGAACCAATTTGATGTAGAATGTAGTACGCTGCTTCTGAAAGGTTGAAGCCAAAATATTGTCTCCACAAAAACAGTGAAACTATTCTTGTTGCTCCTTTCTGAGTGCGATTGTTAATGCGTTTTGAAAGATCGTTTGCTTTTTGCCAAATATGATCTGGAAAACAAAATATAATAAAAAAGAATGAATGGAGAGTAACTACACAATATTGTGCTAGGTATGAAACTGACTGATCTTACCAAGAATACTACTGGTTGGTGTATGTCCAGTGTCATCAGCGGCAAGGATCTCACTAAATGACATTACAGCTTTATACTTTTGGGAGGCTCGGAGAACACTGCATATACTAGGTATATTTTCTTCATTAGCAAGGACCAGAGAATCTGGGGCAACTAGCCTATCAACAATATTCAGCACTGCATTTCGAATGCCTGAATCCGTCAAGTAACCAACCTCTGATTCAATTGCTAGTCCTGATTTCATAACTGGCAGAGAATTCTCTTCATGACTGACAGTTTTGGATTCAAAATCTAGAGGCACATTCTCTGGTTGACTAAAAATATCCTTAGCTACACCTAGCTGCAAATCTTTTTTTAAATGTTTTGTTGTATGCATTTCATTCTCTTGTTCTGCAGTTGCATCAAATTTAGAAACTAGGGCTTCTTCTTGGCCATTGTCAAATTTTTCACAGATTTCCTCTAGACTCGGGACTCCCTTGTCCTCTTCATTTTTAGAGATTTCTACAACATTAACCTGCTTTATCTTCTTATGCTTTCCTTTTGACTTCTTACTTTTATCATTGATTTTGCAAACTTTTACTTCTTGGTTCTGTGATGAGCTGTGTATATCTTGCTGCTCTTTCAAAACCCTCAGTTCACGTTGCTTTTGAGCTTCAGTTTTGGGGCTTTTCAGTGACATAGTTTTAGAAGATTCATCCCCCTCTCCAGTACTCCTATTTTCACACATATTGTTATCTAGTTCATCTTCACTTTTGACAGCTATGATTTGGCAACTTGAAGTATGTTTTTCTAAATTAATTTGAAAAAGGTGAAAGTCATCCAAAACCTGAAAGGAAATAAGAAATTTAGTACAAGTGTGATATCTGTTAATGAACAGTAATTCAGTCAAGACAGGTAACATACTTGCAGACTAGCTTTATTTGGTAAACGAATAACATGGATTGAATACCTCACTGGAATTTGCCTAGAATCAGCAATCCACAGTGAGTAAAATCTTTCAGACCACCTTCTTCTGTGCCTTCCATTATCTCTTTTCATTACTCCATCTGAGCGCAGATCTATAAAGACAACAGAACCATCTCCTCCAAAAGAGGCAAGATTTTGGGATTCTTTGGTCATGTAGGCCTCTACAGTTGCTGCACATTTATAATAGATACTTGACACCATTTTAAGATTCACACCTACAAATAAATGAATGGTGAGGTATTTAAGAGAGTCTTATAGCCAAACAAACATGTCCAAAGATTTCACTTTACAAACCTAAACTGGCAGAAGATTCATTAACTCGCATTTGTTTGCACCATGCCAGGATGCAGGATAGTGCATCATTTATGCTCAGGCTGCCATGGCTGGCTTTGCCAAGATAACTTGCAAAAACAGATCGATCCCAGACAGAAACCCTGCTTTATAAAAAATTGTATTATTAGTAGGAATAAGCTACCAAGTGCATTACAGTTTGAAGATAATATATATTGAACTTACGTGACTTTACAAGTTCTGCACACCCAAGAATACTGATCATGGAGTAATGTGAAGTCTCTAGCTTTCAAAGTGGAGCACTTGCATTTCAATGGTTTCTTCAAAACATTTATGCTTAGTAGCCAGTCCATAAGTGTTATGTATCCATTTTCAGTGTTCATATGAGGCAAGAGAAATTCTGTGAGGAAATTTTCCGGGGACATGTCCCACCTACAGCATACAGTGAAGAAAACATAAATGTTGTTTGGTCGTTAAAATAGTAAAAGATGCAAACAGAAACATTAAATAACCAATTGTAAGAAACTGCATGACTCACTCAGAATTTATATCAAATGTTGATGGAGATTCAAGGTTCTCATCCTCCAAAACTTTTAACTTCTTGGAAGTAATAGAATTGTCTGGGCTCTCACCAGGACGTTTATGAGCATTTTTTTCGAAAGAATGCACATTTATAGCCGTGTTCTCTGAATTGTCCGTAGTAAGCATTTTACCTAGCATCTGAGAATCAAAATACCGAAAACGGCTCCGAGGTGCACTCCTGGCCTTTACATTACTAGAGATATAAATCCGTCCGAATCTGATTGGATTATTAGTCTACGGGAAGATACCGAATCGATAGACGAAGACAACAAATGGAAATACTAAAAAAATACGACAATTCGCAACAGGTACGTAGGTTAGGTCTCCCTAAGTGTGTGTTATTGTAAACAAAGGGGTAGTGGGAGTGTGGTGAGGGGTGCGGGCGGTGCCGGCCGGAAATCTCCGATGGAGGGGAGAAAAAGGGGGAGGAGGGCGTGTGCGCGCGTATATTCAAACGAACTCGGAGAACGTGGCAGCGATTCTTGACGTGTTTGAGGTCACTGGTCGTACGGGAGGAATGCAGATATTAGTTCTAGCTTTCGATTCAGTGTTACAAGAACGCGGTGCGTTGCTGGATCCGGGATCCGGGCGCTGCTCCGAGGCGCACGACGGTGTTTGTTCTCCCAGCGCACCCCTCAGCCGAGCCGAGAGGCGTTCGGCGTTCAGCGGCGATTGGAATGTGCTGACTGACACTGACCTTCGCAGCTTAGGCCTAACTAGCTGACTTAGTCGTCCAGACCTCTCCTGCGACCGGGAGAGGGAACATTTGACGCCCAACGTTCACTTCTGGTCACCTTAGGGGTCGTTCGAACAATTATCATTGGTGGGAGAACCTTTATACTGTATACCCACGACACAGTACGATGATCGAGGGAACAGGGAAAACTAGTAGAGGATTATGAAAATAAAAATAAAATTATTTTAGCATTTTTGTTAATTTAATGCCAATTTAGGAGGGAATTGATGGCGACGAAGCGAAAAGCGGTTTGGGGTAATGGCGTGGCGTATCGCCGAGTGGTGCCGGGCGGCTGTGTAAGATCTCTTGTGCCATGGGGTAGCGGCACGGGCCCGGAGAGACATGGAGATGGGGGGATGATGATTCCCTGGGCTAAGTCGGCCCAACAACCATAAAAATAACTGTAAAAACATGCTAAAATTTATTTTTTATTAGTAACTTCTAATATATTGTAACAGTGTTTGAAGTACAAAGTGATGATACAAGCAATGCAATATTTGATAAGTCAACTTGAAATGATCTCTTGGTCACATGATCAATCACCTACCACAAAATACATTTCCAATCTTAAAAAATACAGAACCATACAAATAAAAATAACATTGAACTATACAAGTAGGGAGAGAAGATCAATATCACAAATTTCATGAGAATAGAGTACCAAAGAACTTTGATCCAAACTAAGTAGTATATGAAAACTAAAATGATTTGTTCTCTCCTTAAAAATCAAGATCTAACGCACCCTCAATATAACTGCACTTTTTCTCTATTTTCACTTCTATAGGAACTGCAATGTCTCCATCAGGTTCAACTCTAGCCTGAGCAGTAGGGGCAGAATATCTAAAAGAACCTAGTTGACTCATTGACGTAATAAGAGATTTTGAGTTAACATTTGCAGTATTTAATACACCCTGTGATACTGGGGGACCAGAGGAAATGCCATGATCAGATATGACAATTGGATTAGAATTGGTACCTTGTGGTGGAGTATTCTGAAGATTTGCTGATTTAAAAGGCTTTGTTGTAAGGCCTGACAAGACAACACGCTGAGGAATATTACTAGAATTTGAACTCTGTACACTGCTTGATTTCATCAAAGACTGCAAACTGGCCTGCCCTGTTTTTATAACTGATTGAGAGTGAGAGCTTGTTGCATTAGTCTTCATGAGAATTGGAGAATTGGAGTTTGTAGTACTAGTCTTCAGAATATACGGTTGAGAATTGGACCCACTGGTACTTGTCTTAACTAGATATGGCTGAGAATTGGTGCTAGTGGTATTTGTCTTGATGATGTACGGTTGAGAATTGGAGCTAGTGGTATTTGTCTTGATGATGTACGGTTGAGAATTGGAGCTTGTAGTATTTGTCTTGATGATGTACGGTTGAGAATTGGAGCTAGTGGTATTCGTCTTGATGACATACGGTTGAGAATTGGAGCTAGTGGTATTTGTCTTGATGATATATGGTTGAGAATTGGAGCTAGCAGAGCTTGTTCTGATGATATATGGTTGAGGACCATTTGTCTTGAGAATGTATGGTTGAGTAGTAGATCCTGTACCACTCGTCTTGAGAATGTATGGTTGAGTAGTGGATCCTGTACCACTCGTCTTGAGAATGTATGGTTGAGGAGTGGATCCTGTACCACTCGTCTTTATCAAATGTGGTTGAGTCTTCAGGGTTGGAGCACTTTGGGGATTGTGAACAGAGTTTAGCACAGAACTTAAAATTTGTTCAGAATTTGACTGAAGGTTGCTACCATTTGCTGGATTGGTACCGCGTTGGACAACAACAATTTTCTTGTTTGTGAAATCATTAAAAGGTGTTGCACCTATATTTTTGTCAGAATTACTAGTGGAGGAGCTACTAGCTTGTAGCTGTTCACTAGCGCTTCCACCGGACACTCTAACTTTTTTTGAGTTGGACACACTTATTAAGTTGTCAATCTCAACAGAAGACAGTCTTTTTGGCCTATTCAATGATTCCTTCCGGGGAGGAGGCACCCCGTCTCTGTTAGTATTATTGTTCTGAGATCCATCATTTCTCTTCTTTATCAAGTAGCCACGATTAAGATTGATACATCTATAGAACCGTTCAACAGGTTGTGCCATTTCAGGGTACTTTTCGTTTGTAAAAGCTGTTAGCAGATAATAATATTATTTAAAAAAGAAGTAGAAACTAATATTAACACAATAAGAAAAAAAAAAAAAAAAGGATGGGTACAAATCTTACCAACAACTGCTGATATCAGACGACGATCCATTTTTTCCGCTGAAGTCTCTAAGTACTTCTCCATTCCTATTAGGTGGGTTAGCAAACTCTTGACAAGAGCTTGGTGAGGTGGTTTCCTGTTGGCACCAAATTCAGCTAATTTTACAAGCTGTCGAAGAACAGCAGCATCTATCCACACTCCAGCCCCTTTCCGAAGTTCCAACTGTGAAATAAGAAATTGCACATTAGCACTTACAGAATATATAGGAAACAAACACAAGGATAATGAACTTGTTTTAGAAAAAATTACCTTCCTCTCAGAGGGCCACTGCCATGGCTGGCTGAGATGATTGGCCAAGTTAGCGAGTGCTGCCCCAGTTGCCAAAATATTAGCAGCTGTTGACTTGTGGAAGTGAGAGAAATAGTCAGAAAGGGAAACTAGATTTTTGACAAATCCATTGGGCACTGAAAAAAGGATGTTCTCATTAGTTATGAAAAGGAGAGTGAATTTGTTTTGTGCCAAAAAATATGACTTAAATGACTTAATTGAACTTTGCTAATCTAGCAGGATGAGAATGTATATTTACACGAAGGAAATGGTGGTAGCTGCCTTGAACAACAGTTGGAACAGCCACGGTTGCAATCAGGAACATGATGGAGCCGAATGTTGGGTGGTTGCTCTTCAGCAGTTCTGTTCAAAAAGTGCAGAACACGCTTCTCAGTTCTCTGCTCATCGGTATCATCATCAACTAGTTTAATTTTCCTTGCCAAGTTTTCTTTGTCGGGAGTGATAGTTCCATGAAGTAATATATTTCCTTCTTTAGTGACAAGAAGTGAATCCAAATACTTTTTATTAGCTGAAAACATAAATGGTTTCTCATTAACTAGTTTATCTGTCATTATTAGCTGAAGACATGAATGGTTTCACATTAACTAGTTTATCTATCAGAGAAGTCAACACTATTTTTAACAAGAACATAACAGTGCCCTAATGAAAAAAGCACCAAGAATACAGATTACTTTCCATAAAATAATGACACTTACTACAAAGTCTCAGAATCTTGCATTCATATTGTTTCTTGAGAATAGATGCAATCCTCACAGACCCCTCAAACAAAGGTATCTCCTTGCCATTTTTCTTAAAAGACTTTTCAAATAATTCTTCAGGAATTAAACTAGTTTTTCTGAGCTTTGTTAAAAAGACTAAGGCGTATTTCTGGGGCACAGAATATTCTTCTTTGATCATCGTGTAAAAGCTTCTATAACCTGATCAAGTTTTCAAATGAAGACCATAACAAAACAACCAGGGTAGCCACAATCGGAAAAGAAAACAACAAAGAAAACCAAATGAACAGGTTAACCAACAACACGTCAATGCCAATTAAGGCGCCAACCTTTGAAGGGAGAATTTCCGCCGCTGCGAAACTAACGAAATGAGGATTACCTTCTCAAATTTCAAACGTTTTCTGCGAAGGCCACTACTTGAACCTGTTGACAGGGCACTACGCCGAAAAGAAGGCGGCGAGGCCATGGTAGACGGTGGGTTGTTCCCGGGGCTCATGCTTATGCTCCGAGTGTGCACTTCGTCTTGTCGACAAAGTAACGGCGTTCCATGCCCCCCCCCCCCCCCCCCCCCCCCCCCCCCCAATGCCTCGATAGCCGAAGAAGAGATTCGGTTCAAGAAACCCGTTTTGCTTGGATTTATGAGGCGGTAGGCAAGCATAGACGAGGCGAAAAGAGGGTGGGGGGAGAGAGAGGGGTGCTGTACTGTATGCGATATTGCGGGGGGCTATGGAGACCGGGAGCAAAGGGCGGTAATGGTCAATGTGGTGCCAAAAAAGATGGGATAGCAACCAGAAAATCGGAGGAATTTTGGAATGGCCACAAAGTAAATCTAGATAGGTGTATTTTAAATTTTTTTCATGTTTCATGGCCGACTTTTCAAGCCTACTTCCTGTTTTTCTTGGTATACAAATTTTTCTCCTACGTTACAAAGGTTATTTCTTTTTCAAATTGAGATGTCCCGCCGAGCAGCTATGCTAGATGGGTTGCATACCCACCAGGGGTCTGTCAGGGAGAAGGTGCATCTCAGCGCCACCTGTCAGTATGTCAGGTTACCTCGTGACTGTTGCGTGTTTCTGAGGCCAGTCGGAGCTGGACTATCACTCGTATCACTCCGGCGAATAAACCAACTAAATTTGAGAACTGCGTTCACTTTTAATAAAATGTATAAACGAGTTTGAGGGGTGTTTCAGGAAGAGTTTCCTCCACTCATGTTTTATTTTTATTTATTTCGAGGATTCGATTTCGGGCGATGCTTTCGGAGGAGTGTCTGCCTGGAGAAGGAGAAGGCTGCTCACACGGCGATGTCGCGAAGTTCAATGCACACGTTTGCCTACTTCCAGGCGTCTCATCATCTGAGACGATTTTGATCGTTTAAACGTTCGGCCCGTCGCGGTGGGCTCGGCTTGCTGAAGGGCCGAGCAGCAGGACCAAGGACCTCGTCCCCTTTTTCTCTCCCCTTGTTCCTGCAGCCCTGGCCCAGGCCCTGGCCCAAGGCGCGCCCCGGGCCCGCGGGCCAGGCGGGCCAGGCGGGCCGGGCCGGGGCGAGGATGAGATATGAAATGCAAGCGAGACCCCTCCAGCCAGATCTCTTATCAGGCCCCAGCGCCCCCAGCAGCCCAGATCTGGACCATAGCTCTTGCCTGCTCGCTTCCTCAGTTTGAGGCTCCCCGCCGCGCGGCGCCGCGCCCCGGCGCCCCCACCGCGCCCCGCCCCGCCTCAACCCCCGCGCTCTCCCCATCCTTGACATTCTTCTTTGCATCTGTGCGTTTTATGGCGATGCCTTTCTTTTTGCTCCCCGCAGGGGAAAGGCCCCGCGATAACACGCCCGCTCTCGCCATCCCCCTTCCCTCGCCTTTCTCTGTCCCTCCCTCTCGATGCCCCCCCCCCCCCCCCCCCCCCCCCCCCCCGTCCCCCAACCCTATGAACACATTAGACACTATACATGGGGGAATGCCTTTGGAAGTCTGGAACCCTGGCTCACCCAACCGACTTGAATCAATCGCTACGGACGGGGTAGGCAACCCAACTGCCATGACGCTCAGACCCGGCTCCCTCGGGCTAGGCAACCCAACCGACGCGCCGCACCCTGGTACTACACTCCCGCAGAATGAGTGTATTACTGGAGTGGGCACTTCCCCTAACATCCCGGAGCCCTAATGATGATGTACTGGTGGCGACCCGGACCCGGCGGCGGTGGGGGACAACACACAGCCCCTCATTCTAAATCCTTATGAGTGGAGGCGGGACCGTGGAGTCTGTGCGGAGGAGCGGAGGGCAGAGCGGGCCCGAGCAGCTCGCGTTCTTCTCGTAAACCGAGCAACGGGAAGGAAAAAAAGGTACTTACAATATATATTTGATGGGAAATATCTCTGTTTTCTAGACCTGTTTAGTTTCTGTCCACGGACATTTTGGCAAAATTTTCCATATAATCATGGATAATTATGATGCGTTTTTCTCACATCCATTCCTACCAGCGTACTGCACTTCCCTCCCTCGCCTGAAATCAACCCCCCCCCCCTCTAGCCCGAGCCACCCCGCGGGGGTTGTAACGCAGGGGGGAGGGGAGGGGGAGTAAGGCCCTGCTGCAGAGCGCGTCACACCGGGGGGAGAAACGGACGACCGGAAATTAAGGGGATCCGGAAACACCAGAAGCGCATTATCAGACCTTATTCCTTATTACAGGCCCATCGGGCAGTGATCGAGGGGCACTTACACGCGGGGGGAGAGGAGGGCCGGGTCGGGCCGCACCGCAGGGGGGATGACACCGCCAAAACTTGGGATTCATTCACGGAAGGAAAAAATGTCGTCGACGTCGCCGATGGCGATGACGACGGCCAACGACGGCACCATTGTCAAGCGGGAAGGTTTTTCGACTGCGGCGGGAAAAAGCGGCCATATCCCATCGGTTTGAACGGGGGGCGCCGACCAGGCGGCGCTTCCACTCTAAACTGCATCAGCGCCCCGACGGCTTGTCTTTGACCCCGAGTGTCGTACATCAAAACATTCATCTGGGCACCCCCTTCACGATCCCGGAGTATTTTAAAACTCGTTCCCAAAACCACCTCTTGTATTTGCAAATCGAGTCTAATGAACCTCGGCCCGGCCCTACGCTTCCCCGTCCCGCCCCTCCCGACGAGGGGGGCGGCACCTCTCTGCCGCCGCGCGCCTCTCACTCGCCCCACTGCTAATTGTAATGAAGAAGCAGCACTATGAGATAAATATGCTAATCTGCGTGGAGACGTAACGCGACTCCTTTCGCTAATGCTCACGCTAACGCTCCTCGCTGCAACGAGACTCATCCCGACGCCGCCGAGAAGCAAACTCTTACATTTTTTCTTTCGTACAGAAATGTATGCGATATGCACTAATGACCGAGCTAGTGACAATATTTGTAAGGTCAAAACGTCATTAAGTTACCTGAAACTACCAAACATAAAAATTTACATTTTTTCAGGCGCCGTGGTCGACACGATACACGATAGGCACGTTATCGTGCGGTACACGGTTTAAAAACTGATGTAACAAAAATTATTGTGTATGGTAATAATGACATAATCCCACACGGCTACCCGCCCGCAAGCCACCCCCAGAAAAAACGGTGCGGTCCGTGAACGATCCCTTGTATGCCCTCTCTTCCTTCCCCCTGGAGGACTGAGAGTGCGAGAAGAAAATGGGGCACGGAGAGAGAAATCTCGCCTGCGTGACCGACCGGCGCGCGGGCCCGGGGGGACGCGGATGAGAAGTGCCTCCTCGTGGACCCCTGGCCGTCGTGGCGCTGCTGCCGCCCGACTGGTCCCCCCGGGGCCGGGGCGGGGCAGGCGGGGGCGAGTGCGGGCGTGGCGCCTGGTGCTGGCGAGACCTAGTGGAAGCCCTGGAGTGCGTGTCTGAAAAATGCAGCAGCAGCAGCAGCGGGGGCGGCGGCTGGCAACCCTCCTCAGCACGCTCGTGCGCCCCCACTCTCTCTTTCTCCGAGTCCTCCCCTCTCGCCACGCCCCCTCCGCAGTGTTCAAGAGGCCTAAAGGTGTTCCCCCGGTAGCGAAGAGAGGCGGTGGCGACGACGAGGCGTCGAAACCGGCCCAAAACGAGAGCTCTAGAAGTATAGAGGTGCGAGAGGGACAGACAAAATCCTTTCGAAGGGCGCGTACTCACCCGTGAGCAGGGGGACGTTCCGGGACATCCGCGGTGTTTGTGAAGCGAACCACCACCACGATGGCGCCGCGGCAGTCTTGTTTGAGCGGCGTAACAGCAAGGTGACAGTGCCACGACTTGGACGTCAGGGAGCACTCAGGAGCCCAGGGCCGCGTCCTGCAATCTGCGAACAATGAGAGACAGAAAGTGCACAAATTAATTACACATCTTGGAAAATTAATTTTGTTTGTATTATACTCTTCAGCCTTGCACTCAACTACTAGAGGACAATGATAAAAGTACCCAAGTACCCATAAATTTGGTTATGGGGAGAGAGGAGTACTCGTCTTTCGGGTGATCGTCGGGGTCCGGTGGGGCGTGGACGTGGAAGGGTGTGGCGGGGCGTGGCGGGGCGTGGCGGGGAGTGGCGGGGGGCGCATCGGGAGGATTGTCATTATGAATCGATTGCTCGCGGGCGCGACGTGCGGCGCCTTCCGATGCCGGCCCGCTGCTCTGCCCCCGACGCCCTCCTCACCCTCCCTGAGATTAGTGCGTCGCTCATCCGGGACCGTCCCGTCCGGCCGGCGCCAGCCTCCCGCGTGCCAACCACAGCGTGACACCTCGCGTGCAAATTGAAATCCGTCGCGCGCACGTAGGGGGTCGGAACGTGGGGCACAAGCGGAACTGCAGTCCTCAGATGTTGGAATTGTTTTCTAGGCGTTTTGTGCACTTTTCTATAATCTTTTTCTTCTGCAGATGGTACAGTACAGATTTAAATAATAGTCGAAAATATGTCGGGTAGCCTATTGACCACACACAAAAAACAACCCCCTTTGCAGAGTGAGAGTTTTATCCGAGAAGTTTGTGGGAGTAGGGCCGCAACGCGTTCATATTAGCACCCCAGAGGTCTCCAAAGGGGACCTGCGGGCTCCGCGGCCGGCAGCAGAAGCTTTGATTACCTCATCGGTGGCCGGCGGGCTTTGTTTTGTGGCCGGTGCTGGTGTACCCGCCCCACCCCGCACCGCCCCGCCCGCAGTCATTGTGCCCCAGCCCGCCCCAGCAGCGCGCCCCGCGGCGGCAATACGATCGGACGTGCGCGGGCTGCGAACGAGCGATAATGTAATATTCAGAGTAGTTGCCGCTGTCCTGTCTTCTTGTCGCGCCTAGTTTGTTATTTTCGTGTGGACTTTGTTGGCCCTGCAGCAGGGTCGGCCATGGCAGTACGGCGACGCTAGGGGTGCGGCCCGGGCGGGTATGAGGAAAAGTAAGTAGTATATAGGAGTAGCGTCGAGGGAGGAAAGAGAACCGCAGTTAATGTTTTTCTCAATTCGGCAATACCAGAATTTCCAATAAAATGTAAAAAACAATAAAATAAATAAAAACAAAAAACATAACAATTACATTTGAAAAAATGCAATCACTACTTGAAGTGGGCATTCATTCGGGCTGATCGTGTTCGAAAAATGTCACGTACCAACGGGCGTCTTGGGCGCAGATTGGCGAGCCGGACCCTCCCCCTCCTCCTCGAGGAGAGCCTTAGCGCTCGCCTAAGAGGCGGGGGTGGAAGGAGGAGGAGGATGGGGATGATGATGAGGAGCAGGAGAGGGGAGGGGAGGAGGGGATGGAGGAGGAGGAGGGGCGCGGAATGAGAGGACAATACATTAGTTAAGTGGCGCGGGGCAGCCCTAGCCCTTGCTGGCCGGGGCCTCCCTGGCCGGGGCGGAGCCGAGCCCAGCATAAAGCCGGCCGGCAGGAGGAGGACCCCTGGCAGGGCAGTGCGGCACCCCCTAGGAGGAAGGGCCAGGGGCTCGAGGCCAGGGGCGCGGGCTAGGAGGCGCGGGCGTTAAATATAATGGTTTTGATTACTTCCTCGGCGGACCGCAGCCGAGACCATCGCGGGGCGCCACGGCACGCGGGTGGGGCCCCCCCTTCTTCTCTCCTTACGGTTCGCACTGCGGTGGTGTAGCACGGCGGCGGTGGCGGTGTAGCACGGCGGGCCCCGGACTATCTAGAAATGATGCCCTATACTATATCTGACGTGCGGTAAAGAGGAGCTACTGCGGGAGGAGGAACGGAAAGAACGCTGTGTAGTAAAAAGTGATGTGTATCCTCGCAGAAATTACACTACTGTGCGATGGAAATCTAAAGCGAAGTGTGTTTGAAATATATATTTTGTTGAAAACAAAGCGAACGTCGTTGCAGTGTGTTCCCACATTACTTCGTTTTGCATGATGGGGAGAATTTCGACAGCGATTATGGTATGTGTTGGACAAAACAGTGTCGATTTTAGACACCCTTTTTTCTTCTTTTTTTCTGACGGCCTTCTTTATCTGCCCCATTCGCTTTCACGCTCCATGCGTCCTCGAGAGGTGGCACTGCGAACCTTAGAGTAAGGGGCGAGGGGCGGGGCGCCCCGCTGCAGGGTCCGGCCGGCAGTGGACTTCGCTCTAATGGGTCCACTCCGGGCAAATACACAATTGCAACTCTATTAGACTTGATTGCACGTGACCACTTGAGTCCGGCTGGGTCGGCGGGGGCGTGGCGCGGAGGGGCGGGGCGGGCCGCTGCAGACTTCCCTGCTGGCCCAGTTGCTCCCACAGGAGTGCAGCTCGGGCGGACTTCCCCCTCACCCTGCTCCCGCGCATCCCGGAGGCCAGCCCGGGGCCAGCCCCTCCAACGGCTAACAGGTTATTGTACAAGAGAGAGAGAGAGAGAGAGAGAGAGAAAGAGAGGGGCTGGAAATAATGTAATGGCTGGATAAAAGGGAGCATCGCTAGGCCGGCCGCGGCTCCTCGACGGGTAACGACGGCGCGCCCGCGCGGGTACGCAAAAGCAACCCATCCGACCCCACCTCCCCAGGGTCCGACGCGCCACCGCACCGCGAGAGCACGACGGCGTCAAAGGCGCGCCAGGAACGAGACGAGCTGTACTGCTGCTGTCGCATTTGCAACCCGCCGAGTCAGCGTCTTGGTTAGAGGAGGCGGGGCGGGGCCCCGGGCCCCAGGGCCCAGGGCCCTCCTGGAGGGACGCGGTCGCCCCTGCAGCAGCCAGATGCAGCGCTTTGGATGCAGACTGCGCCACCTCTCGGGTCGCTCGCGCCCCGTTCCCCCAGAGCCGGACCACTTTGCCACTACTTTGCCAGGTTGGCTTTTCTTATCGCTAGGCCAGCTTCCGTCATCGTTTCTTCGCTGGGCAGACGCGCGCAGCGATTCGTTTTTCCCGCTTGCGCGCCCGCTTGTGAAAAGAGTGTGGTTGTTTCTCATATTCAGAAAGCTCAAATATATACCTAAAAAAAAAAATGTTGGCGACTCAAGTTTGCTGTTGAGACTAGAATCTTTAGAAGATGAACACAAAAAGCGATTGCAACTGCCCCCGAGTGGCAGTTGCGAAGGTGCATGGAATAACAATGTGCAATTATGGCATATTTGCTCCACCATAAAATCAAGCACCCGCACCACCCCGTTGTTTCCTTTCAGGAGGATCTCGACCGCCGGCGGAGACCCCGGCGAGCTCGGGGGCGGGCCCGCCAACCCCTTACTGCGATGATGAAACAACACAATTATTTCCAGGGGGATCGTCAGCCCTCGAGCCGGGCTCGCGCGGAGGTACGAATTAAACGCAACATTATCAAAACGTCCGTGCCTCGGCTCCGCTTGGTCCGCCCCCGGGCGGCTGCGCCCGGCTGGGGGCCGGCCCGACCCTCGGGCGCCACTCCAGAGGAGCTAGACTGGAGGGCTCTCTCTCTGTCTCTCTCCTACAGCCCCTGTTTACAGGCTGTTTCCAAATTGCACCGACGACAAAAGTTTTGAGGGCGGCGACAGCAGGCAGCGCAGGGGAATCCCACTGTTAGCGGGCGGCCGCCCCCCTCCCCTCTGCCCGCCCCCGCACCGGCGGAGAATCTCGAAAAGATTCTCGACGGCTCGCCGCCGCCGCGCTGGAGGAGGTTTACCAGCGGGCCGGGAGTCCGTACGCTCGTGCATGTGCCCCATGTCCGCACGCTCCAGGGAGGCGACGAAAACGGTGAGCAGGCAGCCGACGGCCATGGCTGGGAACACACGGCGCACGCCGACAACGATGTTGGCCTTGTCCGTTTTCGCTATTTCGATGCACCGCGGTGTACCGCGCTTCCCATTTCCACCCCCTCTTCCTCAGCTCCATCATTCGGCTCCTGTCTCCTGCATGCTCAGCACCCCGACGCCGAGCGCGCTGCGTGGGTTACGTCCGATATGAAAAGTTGCCATGGCAGTTTGCGCGCGCGGGGCATCTCCATCCGCGAACACACAATGCGTCTTAGTCTTGGCCATGGCGATGCCACATCGTTTTTCGTGCAGCAGGACGCTATGGTCACGTTGCGGGTGCGCTCCATCGTGATGGTGGCCGACTGGACATGATGACGGGGACGTCGTCCGTGGTCACTCGAATAGTGTAAAGTTGTCTCGAGTGGCAGAAGAAGCTCCTCGGCGCTGTCGAACGTCTCGACGGTTAGGTGTAGGGCGGCCAGGTTGGCCATGGTGAGCGTGAAGAGCCACCACCAGCTGCTCGCCGGCAGGCGCGTGGACAGCGCAAGTGCTGACCCTGAGGAGGCGCCGGCCGCGGGCACGCCGCCGCCGCCCGCCTCACCGCAGTGTCCCTCCCCTCGTCCGGTTAGTTCGTCATGGCGGTTGTCGGTCGCGGGAAAGGATTTCCGTCGGGAGAAGAGATTTCCGTCACTTTCTCGCGCGTCGCCTCTATTTTGGAGTTTGATGCGCGGCGGCATCGTAGCGCGGCGTTGTCGCGTGGGCGCGCTGCTTACACTGCACTGTTAAAATTTTTTGTTGAGATTTTACAGAAAAAGTCTGGGTATACCAGTTGCCATGTAAAAGTCTGGTAAAATTACAGGGGTCTGTAAAATTACAGACACTGGTAAAACTAACTCCACAAAATTTCTGTAAAACTGATACCAAATGTTTCTGTAGTAATGTTTACGAACGTTTTCTGTAATTTTTACCCACATTCCTCTGACGTAATACATTCAAGAAAAAAAATATTTTCGGCGACTGGTTTCTTGTTCTATATATTTCATAGTCAACCACCTTCGGGTTTCATTGGTGAAACTTCTTTTACCGCTTGTACCTCAGGTGGGATCGAACCCCCGACCTCTTGGTCGTGAGCCCGATGCCTTGCCCATTGCGCTACGGCGCGCGACGTGGAGGGAGCCCGTCCGTACTCCATCTGTTGCTTCCGACTGTCCACGCGGCTTTCCATACGGTTAACTGCCCTCTTGGTTAGTGATTATCACAACATCGGGTTTCTTTCGTGGTTCCGTTGTTAGAATGCACTAGAGTTCAACATTGAGCAACTTTTGTGGCCAATTTTAACCGAATTTCCTATGTGTTCGAAAAATTACAGAAAGTATCTGAAAGACTACTTTACAGAGTCTGTAACTTTACCAATACCTGTAATAATACCAGAGTACGAGTGGATTTTTACAGACGCGTGTAAATTTACAGTAGTTTTTCGTGAAAAATACCGACAATCTGTAATTTTACTGGTACTGTAATTTTACCATAGTATTTCGGTAAAACTAACGTGTTCGGTAAAATTACAGTTTATTTCTGTACAAGATTTCAGGAATTATCGGTAAAATCACTAATATTTTTAACAGTGTGTCTGAGCTGCACCGCGCACTCAACGGCGCGCGGGAGACATTTTGTTTGTGGCAGAGGTGACCTGAACCTGTGACCCCGGGTGGTGTCCATAGTGGCACAGAGTGACCTAGGGTAGGGTAACAAACCCAGGGTGACCCCGGCTGACCCTGGGTGACCAGGGGTGACCCGGGGTGACCAGGGTGACCATGGATGATCCAGGATGACCCAGGGTGACACAGGGTGACCCTCCTCGAGCGACCCCTTTAGTAATGGTTTTGTGACCAACCCTTGAGATGGCCTTGAGACACACAGCCACCCTACACAGTCGGTGACCCACCGGGTCACGTCACTAGCCTGGCCACTGCGGCCTGCCCAGAGGGTGTGTGAGCGCGGCCGGACGCCGCCAGCCGCCGCGCCGCCTCACACTCGCGTAAACACCGGCTCGAAACGGCTCTCTAAACCGGACCGGGGCGTTTATAGGCGGCACGGCGATAAACCCTGCCAAACCGCCTCGTGCGAATAATAAGTTGAGACTTTGATAGGAGGAGGTGGCTCTGCGGATAGCGCACTGCAGTGTGTGCAGTGCGAAAAGTGCGCCGCGCGTCGGATTAGAGACTTCCTATGCACCATAGCCACAGAAAAAAGCGGGACTCGTCTCGTCCGGTCCGATGGTTAGACTCGTTAGACTGTACCGCATGGATGGACATGTGCGAGGGGTAGCGGGTAGCCTAGCACCCGACAGCAACTCTGCGAACAGTAGAACAACGAATGCCAAGGTGGGGGTAATAATTGGTAAATCAGCCACATCCAATCGGTAGATTTACGCTTCATCGTCAATGCGAGGATAGACGATTACCTTTACACTACTTGTATTCTGTATTTTCGTCGTATACGCCATCGGCAACATTTTTTCTCTTTTTTTTTGTGGGCTGAGGTCAGTTCGTTCCGCCGCGGTCAGGACCCCTTTTCCTTCAAGAAAGGGAGAGGGAAACGGAAAAAGGTGCGCCCTGGACGGTGGGGTCAGTGAAAGAGACTGAACGGAGGCGGGGAGGGGCAGAGGGGTGTAATTAGTGGGCGGTGGGTGCTAATTGTGCGCTGTTGGGCCTGCTCCAGTCACTGGCTGGGCCCGCACAGCGTTCTGCTGGCCTCCAAGTCGCATTAACCCTATTCTGTAAATCTAACTGTATAGCAACTTGACAGTTTAAAATGCAAAACTAAAAGTCTTACAGTTTAAACTGCGAAACTGAAAAGTTCTACAGTTAAAACTGCGAAACTGAAAAGTTCTACAGTTAAAACTGCAAAACTGAGTAGTTCATCAGTTTAAACTGTCAAACTAGTCCTATGCAGTTTAAACTATCAAGTTGTCACACAGTTAGATTTAAAGCGATATTCTGCGTCACGATGGGCACTGCCGGTCACACTTTTCTTAAAGTAAAAGGAATAGGAGGAATGAGTTTTAACAATAGAGCGGAAGGGGGGACAACAGCAACGACTAACGAAAAGGGTCAAATACTGACGGTATGACAGGGGCAAAACTGCGTGCCAGCGTGCCGATCAGGGAAAGCACGACCGCCGAGACGTGTCCATCAATGGCCGTCACGAACATGCCGCGTTCACCATCTGCGAGAGAGCTCTCATAGCGCCTGGTAGGTAGGCAACATCGTGCCTGCAGTGCATGCGTGTACCGCGGCGTGGCCTACCCCGAGTCTCGCAGGCGTCGAGCTCCCGTTATCCCCGAATGAATCTGAGAAAAATGGACGTACACCCAGAGAAATCGTTTCTTGTTTCAAGTAAAGTTTTCCTTGTTTCAAGTGCACGCTGACACAAGATGAAATTCACTCTTGAAACAAGCTGATATTTTCTTTCGAATAAGAGAAAAATATTATACCAAAGACTATTTTGCCTTGTTTCAATAGTGAATTTTATCTTGTGTCAGCTCGCACTTGAATCAAGAAACTATTTTTCTGGGTGTACTTTTTGGCCGCCCAAATTTTCTCTACCCTTTAACTGTTCTTAATAATTTCTGGTCGAATTTATGAAAGAGAGTAAATTTTTGTAGGGAACTATGTCACTACATTTCTCGTCACTTGACAGCTGACTGCACCCTTGTCCTTCCATATGGCCTACTTTGCTTCGCCATCTTAAAGTCGCGATGTTTGTGCGAACAATTACTATTTCTACGTCCCAAACTTTACGCAAGAATAACCCGCCCGCCTCACTCTACGCGAGACGCTTCGGATTTCAACGTTCTCTCGTGAGTCAGCGACACGGGCGCCTATAAATTCTATTAGCGCATAACTTTCTTATGATCCTGGATTCCATCGCCTCCCCCCTTTTGCTCGCACTGCACCGCGGCGCCGCCTCCCGGGCCCCACATTTATACGGCTACTGTGGGTGTGTTTGTGCGTGTGGGTGCGTGTGGGTGCGTGTCTATGTGTGCGTGCGTGTCGCAGACATTATCCTCGCTCATGTTTCTTGTCCGCGCCACGCTGCGCGCCGCCTCGCCGCACGGACGGGGCTAAGCCTCGCCCCGACCCATCTTTTTTTGTCAAAGCCGGGGACTTCGCGAGGGGAAACTGCTCTCATGCGCACCCCCTTCACTTAGCATCTGCATATGTAGGGCGGGGCAGTGTGTGTGTAGCGACCACACACACGCGCGCAGAGAGAGAGAGAGAGAGAGAGAGGGGGGGAGAGGGAGATAGAGCAAGGGAAGGGGTGGGGTGTGAGTGAATGTGTGGGTTGGTGGGAGGAGGGGGGCACCAAAAAGCGTACAAGGCGGCACTATGCCGTTCAGACACAATTTGCTGGTGGCTATCCGGCTTGTAAATCAAGTATATAAGGACTCCCACAGCTCTTTCTGTGTCTGTCTCTGAGTGTGCTATCCCCCCCCCCTCCCTCACCCAGAGCCCTCTAGTCTAGGCCCACTTTTGATCGCCCAACGCCAAGGGCTGGACGGACGTTCGCATGGAAAACGCGAACGCCTACTTTGTTTCTTGTTCTGCTATTCTCCATCCCCCTCGGAGGCCCGCGGCTGCAGCCACCGTGCCTGTCGAGCCTGGCCGTCAGCCAACCGAATCAGAAGGCGAGCCTCGAGTCCGCCCCCCCCCCCCCATACCTTTGGCGGGCCGGCGGGGTTGAGACTCCCTCGCCAGGGCGCGTCGCTCGCACTCACCGTTCTGATAAGGTTGATGAAGAGGGTGCCGAGCTGTCCGACGAATCAGAGTCCACAGCATGCGCTGCCGCTGCAGCTGGTGGATGGTTTTGTGGGCGGTCGTCTGCTACCCACACCCAAGCATTTGCCGCTGCAGGTCGGAGACGCGACGACTGGTCGGAGAGAATGCAGAATGAAATTGCAACACCTACACAGTGCAATCGGCCGAGTAGAGGAGGGACGCCGCCGAATAAGGGAATGGGCACTTCGGGCTTCGCCTTGATGGAGACGGGGGAGGTATAACTCACCCGGGCGGGGCACTCGTCCTCCGGGAGGCCCTCGTTGCCGAGGCCCGTAACCCACCACGACCAGGCCCATCCGAATGGTTCGGGAGCAGTTAACGAGCCTCAGCCCCGTGATATTGGCGCCTCCGAGTTGGAATGCCAGCGAGGTCCAGCGCGGCGAAGTCCGCCCATGGCCACAATCACCACCATGACCATCATCTGTCATCATCTGCGAGTCCCGGTCTACTACCATCATCATCACCATGACCACCATCTGTCATTATCTACGAGTCCCGCGGGCCACTAGCATCATGATCACCATACGACCATTATCCTGCATATCTGCGAGTCCTGCGCCGGCACCATCGTCATCACCATGATCATCATCTGTCCCGTCATCATGTGGAAGTCGCGATGGGTGGGGATGGTCCATCGTGCCCGTCTAACGGTTATCTTGTTAATTACGGTTCGAGCTGACAAGAAGGTGCATGGTGGCAGGAACGGCCCACAATACTAACGAGGCTGAAGCAGCTACTCACCAAGTCGGCGAAGAAGAAAGAGTAGCAGGGGTGTGGGCCGCGCACTGTTGCAGCTGCACCAGCAACCAGCACGAAGAAAGTCTCGCCGAACTCCGTCAGCAGCTTCAAGACACCAGGAACTTCCATGGCCGTGGAATCCGGGGTGGCGTTGCACGGGTCCAGCACGGCGGTCTGCCCAAGGAGCACACTGCGGACATTTATGGAATGAGAACAATAATAGTGATGAAGAAATGCCCTAGCATGGTATTTAGTTGAGTGATCTATATTGAAACATGCAACAACGGGCTAACAACTAGTTGGCGCAGACGAGCACCTCGCACAACAAACATTCATATAACACCAATAACTGTACAAAAAATTGCAGGTAAGACACACAAAAATATGATTTTCTTTTGAAAAAAAAGTGCTCCATTTGTTCTTAGCCTAGTTCGTTGCTTGGGTCACTGCCACAACGTGCTGGTTGCCAGTACTACCGCCAGGGGGCTGCTGACAACTCGGCTAACAATAAGCCGAGTAAATTGTATTAGCCTGGTGTTACATCAGGCGCAGGCACAGGCCCTCGTTGCAAAGCATCTACGTCGCGCCTCGCGCCTCTGAAAATGCGATTAGTTTTGAAAGGTGGCGGACTGCCGCGGCCGCTCGGAGGGAAACCAGCACCACGTCCAGCGGCCACTGCCCCCGCCCCCGCACCACCTCCGCGCGCCCCTCGGGCCTCGCGCGCCGCGCCCTCCCCGGCGGGGGTGCAGGGCGCAGAGCGGGCCGAGGCCACTAGAGGGTTACAGCGTTAATTTAATGGCTGCTTGTTTGCATCTCAATGCGGCCCGGCCCCGGCCACGCACGCGCGGTGTTGCGCGCCACACCTCGCGCGCACGGGGATTTTTCTCCCCCTCCCTCTTTTCCCCCAACCCCCTCATCTTCACCCCCCGCCCACCCCTACACCACCCCGTGGCGGCCTCCCCTTTGTTTCACGCCCGTCCCGCCCGACGCACTTGTCCGACGTGCTCAGGACGCGGCTCAATCCCATGTCGTCGTCGTCCAGTCCACCACCCCAGGGGAGAATCTAATTTATCTAACGTATTCTTTAATGATGGTGTTTCGGGTGGTGTCTTTGGGGTGGAACGCTCTCCGGAGGTGCGCCGATGAAATCCAGGCAGTGTAAACACAGATGAGCGAATATATTAGTGGGTCTCCATGGACTTTTCACCGTTGCAAAAAGAGGAACAAGGCAAAGGGTTATGCAAGGCGTGGTGGGGAGCTTCATGGTGTAGAGGTTAGGTTTCATGCAAGTGCTGAATGCTTTGCCTCGCTCCAAACTGTAAATGAAACCCAATGACACACAACCTAACCTCTGCTACGCCATGCCACTCAGCATCACGCCAGTGCTACCTTCATCTTTCTCCTCTTACAGAGCACCCGAATTTTTACGCATATTCTCTGATGTATAATGGAACCTAACCTAATCTGGACACTCATGGTTCACCCGCCACGGCGCCTGAAGTCATTTGTTTTTGTTTTTCAGTTCTCTACAGATAATAGCGGGCATCCTGCAGTAGTGTTTGTTTCGCTGAACTCATCGGTTGTTGGCCAAACACCAAATTCAGTTCAGATTACTCGTGCGCGCCTGCTCCAGTATCTCCATTTTACCAGCTGCTTTGGCAGACCGTGTAAACTTGGCGCTGGTGGGCCAGAAGCTAATGGACCCCGACGCTCCCTACTGTACTCGCGCCGACTAACCTGGTGAGTTGGACGCGGCCACATGTGCGGGAGGGGCGCGCCCGCCGGGCGGGGTGGGACGGCTGTCGCTGTCGCCTTCCTGCTCTGCGGCTCGTGCGCACCTGTGGATCTGTACGGCGTCGCGCCACCCCTCCGCGAAGTCGCATCCACTTAGCATTAGCGTCGACCACTTCCGTTACAACTGCATTACCAAACCGCTATATCGAGCAAGGCCACAAGCTGCACGCGCCATCAACTAACCACTAGTCTCGCCAGCTGTTGCTGCTCCGTGTCGCTGCCGGATGTTGCACAGCAGCACCAAGCGCACCAACAGTTGAACAACTAGAGAGCGGGAAACTCAAATTCAAGTGATGCCAACTCTTCTATAGCCGAAACCTGATAACAGGAGTGGGAACGAGAGGGAGAAGCAAGGTCATTCGTGTTGAATCGAAAGGTAAGCAGTCTGACCAGCCGTTCCTATCACTATGCTGTCCTCGATGCTGTCTCATAGTGACTTCCGTTTTCTGGTTCCTGCATCTGCATTTGTTCTGCTTTTCAAAGGGGGGGGGGGGGCGAGTAGAGGGGTTGATAACTTTTATCACGTGCAACATTCTTATTTAACACCAATAGCAAAAACTGACTCTATAGCCCAAGCGGCAATGGAATAAATCTTGCGTCAAAAATTTCAAATAGTTCCAAAGAAAATTGTTCTAGCCTCCAAATCGTTTCTAACTTCGACTACTGTCGAAGAAGGTAATTCAACAAGGTGTTGCACAACTTTACAAGTAGTGTTTACCGTTTTTTAAAACCAGAATTCGATTTATTTGGCAAATTGATAGTTGCGACATTGTGCGCTCGGTACGTAATCTCGGTTTTAAAAATCTCGACGCGTGTTTCGCAAGTTATTCTTTTCCTTGTCCAACGGCCCCCTGGACCGTCCGACCCGCCTACAGGGCCGCCTCCAGGCGCGCCTCGCCAGCGCCGCTGTCCTCGGGGGCGCCTCTCCTCTCGACTTGTTCAATTTGTTTTATCAGCAGAGCCGCCTCACCGTTGCAACCACATCACCGTGCCACGCCGTGCCGCCCCTCAAAAGGGTCCGGGCGGCGTTCGAGTCTCTCTCCGCGCCGCCCACCCTCCCGGTGACCATACGGCGGCGGCACGGCGTGCACTTTTCGGACGCCCCTGCTGCTTGGAGAGAGGGGGAGGAGGGCTATCTCCAGAGGGCGACCTTACAAGAGTATCAGACAGTCGGAGGGGTGGGGCGCGGCGCGCAGGGGAAGGAGGATGCACTGAGAGGGGCCGGGCCTATTTGCACCAATTCTGTTGTTGCTGCAAGGTAGTGCCCCCTCGTGCCCACCTCGCCACTCTACGGTTATCTCGGGACTATTTTCGCTTGCCTTGCTCCAAACTTTTCCTGAAAGGTAGATGTTTGCCTTTTATTCAAAAACACGCTATTCCGTTTTACTGGTTTTGTTCACCAGGATACAGTTGTTGTTAGTTCACAAAGTATTTTCGGAAGCAGAAAAACATGTTGTCATGCCGCGATGTGAGCTGAGCTGAAGCCGAAAGAAGCCGTGTACCTGGCAGTGTGTCGTTATCGCTGTATTCCGTTCGAGTCAGGAAGCGCCTATCAGAGCACCTTACTGGTGCAAACGAGGGGGCCGAAGACGCAAGGCAAAAAAAAAAAAAGACTATGTGTATATCGTGTGTGTAGTGAATGAGATAAGCCTCTGGGGCAGGTGAGAATAAGGGTGAGTGGGAGGGTGAGGGGGTGGAGGAGGCAGTGGGCGCAACTCCTCCGTGGCATAGGCCTATTCCAGTCACGCTCGCCCGGCCCGCCGGCCTGGCCTGGTCTGCCCGTAAAACCAGAGGGGGACGTCTCAACTGATTGTGGTGCTGCATCTCTCCTGCCGCTCCACCCCCCAGCGCCCCCTCCCCCGGCGACCGCCGAGGTGCTGCTGGTGCTGCCCCCACGGTTCGATGTTCCCCCTGGTTCCCCTTCACTGACCCCGCCTAACCTCGTAAGCTACCCCCGCCCGCATGGCCACCCTCCCCCCGCCCCCCGCCGTACCCGTGGACGTTCGGAGCTCCTGCTGGGTACACAAGCCCGCCTTGCTGCGGTGCGCGCTGGTTGCCTACCCGGCCAGCCGTAAGAAACCTTGCGCCCGACGCGGTCACACTTACTCGTTATTTACGGGAGCTAACAAAATGTGAGGAAAATGCATTGTTGGCGCGTTATTTTTCCGGGAACCACACCCAGAAGAGCTATTTCACCAGAGAAGGAAAATGCTCTTAAAAATGACCAGAGGATTTCCGTCTCGATCCAAGTGCATTTAG